CGTGCGGCGGCGGCGGCTCTCTTCTTGGTCGTGCTCTTCTTCTTCCAAGGGATCTCTTCCTTCTCCGGCGATTCGGCATGCCTGCCTTCCACGCATACGGAGGTAAGCGATAGAGAGAGATCCCCTTCATGTTTTTCTTTTTTTCTTTTCCCCCGAAGAGAGTCGGGTTGTTGTTTTAGTCGTGGTTCCTTGCAAGGAAAGGTTTGTTCTTGCGTGTCCCTGATGGTGTGTTCTTCGACACAATCAGATGGCGGGTGCCTCGTCTCTGCCCCGGCCGAGCTTTCCGGGATGTTCTGCCGCGGTGGCGGAGCGGTGGTTCAGCAGCGGAAGCGCTCTCTGGTGGCCGCGTCGGCGGTCGCCGCGGCGGCGGCCGAGTGCATGAGGGCCAGCAAGAAGCAGAGGCAGCCCCCGCAGCCGTCCCTGGACCTGCTCCCGGACGAGTGCCTCTTCGAGGTCCTGCGCCGCCTGCCCGGCGGCCGCGAGCGCGCTGACTCCGCGTGCGTCTCCCGCCGCTGGCTCGCGCTCCTCGCCAGCATTCGGGTCTCCGAGCTCGGTCATGCCGCGGCGGCCGCCCCGTCCCTGCCCGATCTCAACGAGGAGTTCGTCATGGAGGAGGATACGGACGACTCCTCCGCAGATCCCTCCGTCGAGAGGGTTCTCGAGGGTAACGAGGCCACCGATGTCCGCCTCGCCGCCATGGCTGTTGTTGCTGGATCCCGCCGCGGGCTGGAGAAGCTCGCCATCCGTGGGAGCCACCCGACGCGTGGGGTCACAGACCAGGGGCTCCTGGCCGTTGCCCGCGGCAGTCCTAACCTCTGCTCCCTCGCGCTGTGGGACGTGCCACTTGTGACCGACGCTGGGCTCGCTGAGATCGCCGCCGGGTGCCCCTCGCTGGAGCGTCTGGATATCACTTCTTGCCCGCTCATCACAGACAAGGGCCTTGCTGCTATTGCTCAGGGGTGCCCCAACTTGGTGTCTCTGACCATGGAGGCCTGCTCCGGCGTTGGCAACGAGGGCCTGAGGGCGATTGGCCGGTGCTGCTTGAAGCTGCAGGCTGTGAGCATCAAGAACTGTGTGCACGTTGGTGACCAGGGCATTTCTAGCCTCGTGTGCTCCGCTTCCGCATCACTGGCCAAGATCCGTCTCCAGGGATTGAACATCACAGATGCTTCGCTTGCCGTGATTGGGTACTATGGGAAGGCCGTCACGGATCTTACACTTGCTCGCCTTGCTGCTGTTGGTGAGAGGGGTTTTTGGGTGATGGCCAATGCCGCCGGCTTGCAGAAGTTGAGGTGCATGAGTGTCACCTCTTGCCTTGGGGTCACTGATCTTGCTATCACTTGTATTGCCAAGTTCTGCCCAGGCTTGAAACAGCTTTGCCTCAGGAAGTGTGGACATGTGTCGGATGCTGGTCTTAAGGCTTTCATAGAATCGGCAAAGGTGATGGAAAACCTGCAGCTTGAAGAGTGCAACAGGGTTACTCTTGTTGGTGTTCTGGCCTGCCTTATCAACTGCAGCCATAAGTTCAGGGCTCTCTCCTTGGTGAAATGCACAGGTGTCAAGGATGTCTGTTCTGCTCCTGCACAACTTCCTGTCTGCAAATCACTTCGTTTCTTGACAATCAAGGATTGCCCAGGTTTCACTGATGCAAGCTTGGCCGTAGTCGGTATGATCTGCCCTCAGCTGGAGCAAGTCGACCTGAGTGGTCTTGGTGAGGTCACTGACAATGGGCTTCTTCCGTTGATAAACTCTTCCGAGGGTAACCTGGTCAAGGTTGACTTGAGTGGTTGCAAGAACATCACAGATGTTGCTGTTTCTTCCCTGGTGAAGGCACATGGAAAATCTGTTAAGCAAGTTAGTCTCGAGGGTTGCAGCAAGATAACAGATGCAAGCCTCTTCTGTATTTCTGAGAACTGCACTGAGCTTGCAGGGCTTGATCTTTCTAACTGCATGGTCAGCGACTCCGGTGTTGCAAGCCTGGCGTCCGCAAATCACTTCAAGCTCCGTGCCCTCTCGCTGTTTGGCTGCTCTAAGGTCACACAGGTGAGCGTGCAGTTCTTGGGCAGCATGGGTAAGTTGGAGGGCCTCAATCTTCAGTACTGCAACATGATTGGCAACCACAACATTGCATCGCTGGAGAAGCAGCTCTGGTGGTGCGACATTCTCGCCTAGGCAGACAAGATGGTTCATTGCTGGTGGGGCTCGTCTACTGGGTCAGCCGCCTGCATATGCAGATATACGTCTCTAGCAGCGCAACCGTCAAACCCATATTAGTCAGTTTTTCGGCTCATCATGAGCTGGGATGGGCTTCTGAACTTTGTTCAGGGACCGGTCATTTTTTGGAGGGCGCCTTTGGCCAAGTGCTCGTTTTTTCACAGATCACTCCTCAGGATGTGATCTGTTTTTTGAGCATCTGGCTGCCATCACTGGCATCCTGCCCCTTCCATCCAGGCACCGGTCCTTGCCGTTATAGCCACACCATACTGGTTTTTTAGGTTGCTCTAGTGTCCAGTGTCATTTTTTCACTGCTTCATGGTTAAGAAGTTGCAGGCGCCAGCTCCAGTGGCTGGTCTCCAGGGTTGCTGATCCTGGAACGTCTGTTGACATGTCTGGTTGATATTGATATTGTTATTGAGTTTGGGTCTGTCAGTATGTTGAGGTGCTGTGTGTTGTTCTCTAGTGTGTGTGTGGTGTCATGTAGGGTTGCTTTTTTCTTGCGGTTCCTCTTAGGAATGTCTGGTCTTCGGGATCTGGCCGTCGCGAGGCGCATACTAGAGCCTCGCGACTACAACCCTGTATGGTTGTTTTTCTTGACAGGTCCCTGATTTTACCGGCATGATGTTGAGGACTGTAATCTTTGCAACCTTATAAGAATAAATGAAGTATGTGTTTGTTTTGCAAGTTCTATTCTTGTACATCCATTGATTTTTTCTTCAATATGTTTATCAAGGATGTCAAGTGTGTTGTCTAGTAACAAGATGCATTCTTGAAAGTTGGCTGCTCGATGTGCCAAAATTTGAAATTTGAGGGGCATATTTTGATATCCAAGAATGGCATCCATATTTGGATTTGCGATTATATTTCTTCCCATGTTGTCTTGTACAATTCCAGTCCGTACTTCTCTTGGCCATCGCTTTAACACATGATATGCCGTTGTGACTTGATATTCATCAAATCAAGAACTTTAAGAGCATGGCCACATAATATTCCAATTCTATCAAACATCCAGCAACTGCACTCAATTGTTTGCTTGCTCACGTTTTTCCTCCTAAGGTCAGACTTCTGTTCAAAATCGGCAATGTCTTTGTACTCAAACATGCACGCACTAAAATCTGACAGAATACGTGTTTCTTCATTCTCCTATATTTTCTTCTCTTCATTCTTCTCTCTTTTCTTCTCTTTTTTCTTTTCTTCATTTTCCTCTTCACCCTTCTATTCATGTAAATGTTTGACAACATTTTGCATAATGTGAAAGGTGCGTAATCCATGTCATGCTTCTGCAAACACTTCCCCAATGACCTTTCCCATTGCAACATCTTGATCTATATAGAATGGTTTAGGCCCCTTTCCTTTGTGAGATATTAGAAAGGCCTAAAACGACCACTTGAAGGACGCACATGTTTCATCATACATGAGAGCATCATCAAAAACTATAGTTTCTCTAAAATGATTGAAACCGACATAGACACTTGTTGGATATATGTCCTAGAGGCAATAATAAAATGATTATTATTGTATTTGCTTGTTCATGATAATTGTCTATTGTTCATGCTATAATTGTATTAACCGGAAGTCGTAATACATGTGTGAATACATAGACCATAACACGTCCCTAGTAAGCCTCTAGTTGACTAGCTCGTTGATCAATAGATGGTCATGGTTTCCTGACCATGGACATTGGATGTCATTGATAACAGGATCACATCATTAGGAGAATGATGTGTTGGAAATATGCCCTAGAGGCAATAATAAAAGTGTTATTATTATATTTCCTTGTTCATGATAATTGTCTTTTATTCATGCTATAACTGTATTATCCGGAAATCGTAATACACGTGTGAATACATAGACCACAATATGTCCCTAGTGAGCCTCTAGTTGACTAGCTCGTTGTGATCAACAGATAGTCATGATTTCCTGGCTATGGACATTGGATGTCGTTGATAACGGGATCACATCATTAGGAGAATGATGTGATGGACAAGACCCAATCCTGAGCATAGCACAAAGATCGTGTAGTTCGTTTGCTAGAGCTTTGCCAATGTTAAGTATCTCTTCCTTTGACCATGAGAGCGTGTAACTCCTGGATACCGTAGGAGTGCTTTGGGTGTATCAAACGTCACAACGTAACTGGGTGACTATAAAGGTGCACTACAGGTATCTTCGAAAGTATCTATTGTTTTATGCGGATCGAGACTGGGATTTGTCACTCCGTGTAAACGGAGAGGTATCTCTGGGCCCACTCGGTAGGACATCATCATATGCGCAATGTGACCAAGGAGTTGATCACGGGATGATGTGTTACGGAACGAGTAAAGTGACTTGCCGGTAACGAGATTGAACAAGGTATCGGATACCGACGATCGAATCTCGGGCAAGTAACATACCGATAGACAAAGGGAATTGAATACGGGATTGATTAAGTCCTTCACATCGTGGTTCATCCGATGAGATCATCGTGGAACATGTGGGAGCCATCATGGGTATCCAGATCCCGCTGTTGGTTATTGACCGGAGAACGTCTCGGTCATGTCTGCATGTCTCCCGAACCCGTAGGGTCTACACACTTAAGGTTCGATGACGTTAGGGTTATAAAGGAAGTTTGTATGTGGTTACCGAATGTTGTTCGGAGTCCCGGATGAGATCCCGGACGTCACGAGGAGTTCCGGAATGGTCCGGAGGTAAAGATTTATATATGGGAAGTCCTATTTTGGCCACCGGAAAATGTTCGGGATTTTTCGGTATTGTACCGGGAAGGTTCTAGAAGGTTCCGGAGTGGGGCCCACCTGCATGGGGGGACCCACATGAACGTGGGTAGTGGGGGCAAGGCCCCACACCCCTGGTCAAGGCGCACCAAGATCCCCCCTTAGAAGGAATAAGATCATATCCCGAAGGGATAAGATCAAGATCCCTAAAAAGGGGGGATAATAATCGGTGGGGAAGGAAATGATGGGATTTCTTTCCTCCCACCTTGGCCAACGCCCCAATGGACTTGGAGGGCAAGAAACCAGCCCCTCCACCCCTATATATAGTGGGGAGACGCATGGGAGCTTCAGACGAAGTTCTGGCGCAGCCCTCCCCCTCTCACAAGTACTCCTCCTCTCCCGCGGTGCTTGGCGAAGCCCTGCAGGATTGCCACGCTCCTCCACCACCACCACGCCATTGTGCTGCTGTTGGATGGAGTCTTCCTCAACCTCTCCCTCTCTCCTTGCTGGATCAAGGCGTGGGAGACGTCACCGGGCTGTATGTGTGTTGAACGCGGAGGTGCCGTGCGTTCGGCACTTGATCATCGGTGATTTGAATCACGACGAGTACGAATCCATCAACCCCGTTCACTTGAACGCTTCCGCTTAGCGATCTACAAGGGTATGTAGATGCACTCTCCTTCTACTCGTAGCTGGTTTCTCCATAGATAGATCTTGGTGACACGTAGGAAATTTTTTGAATTTCTGCTACGTTCCCCAACAGTGGCATCATGAGCTAGGTCTATTGCGTAGATTCTTTGCACGAGTAGAACACAAAGTAGTTGTGGGCGTTGATGTTGTTCAATATGCTTACCGTTACTAGTCCAATCTTGTTTCGACGGTATTGTGGGATGAAGCGGCCCGGACCGACCTTACACGTACTCTTACGTGAGACAGGTTCCACCGATTGACATGCACTTGGTGCATAAGGTGGCTAGCGGGTGCCAGTCTCTCCCACTTTAGTCGGAACGGATTCGATGAAAAGGGTCCTTATGAAGGGTAAATAGCAATTGGCATATCACGTTGTGGTTTTGCGTAGGTAAGAAACGTTCTTGCTAGAAACCCATAGCAGCCACGTAAAACATGCAAACAACAATTAGAGGACGTCTAACTTGTTTTTGCAGGGTATGCTATGTGATGTGATATGGCCAAAAGGATGTGATGAATGATATATGTGATGTATGAGATTGATCATGTTCTTGTAATAGGATTCACGACTTGCATGTCGATGAGTATGACAACCGGCAGGAGCCATATGAATTGTCTTTATTTATTGTATGACCTGCGTGTCATTGAAGAACGCCATGTAAACTACTTTACTTTATTGCTAAACGCGTTAGTCATAGAAGTAGAAGTAGTCGTTGGCGTGACAACTTCATGAAGACACGATGATGGAGATCATGATGATGGAGATCATGGTGTCATGCCGGTGACAAGATGATCATGGAGCCCCGAAGATGAAGATCAAAGGAGCTATATGATATTGGCCATATCATGTCACTACTCTATTTGATTGCATGTGATGTTTATCATGTTTATGCATCTTGTTTGCTTAGAACGACGGTAGTAAATAAGATGATCCCTTACAACAATTTCAAGAAGTGTTCTCCCCTAACTGTGCACCGTTGCTACAGTTCGTCGCTTCTAAGCACCACGTGATGATCGGGTGTGATGGATTCTTACGTTCACATAAAACGGGTGTAAGACAGTTTTACACAGCGAAAACACTTAGGGTTAACTTGACGAGCCTAGCATGTACATACATGGCCTCGGAACACGGAGACCGAAAGGTCGAGCATGAGTCGTATAGTAGATACGATCAACATGAAGATGTTCACCGATGATGACTAGTCCGTCTCACGTGATGATCGGACACGGCCTAGTTGACTCGGATCATGTAATCACTTAGATGACCAGAGGGATGTCTATCTGAGTGGGAGTTCATAAGATGAACTTAATTATCCCGAACATAGTCAAAAGACCTTTTGCAAATTATGTCGTAGCTCGCGCTTTAGTTCTACTGTTTTAGATATGTTCCTAGAGAAAATATAGTTGAAAGTTGATAGTAGCGATTATGCGAACAGTAGAAAGCTTATGTCCTTAATGCACTGCTCAGTGTGCTGAACCCCAAACGTCGTTTGTGGATGTTTCGAACATCGAACATACACGTTTTGATAACTACGTGATAGTTCAGTTAAATGGTTTAAG